TAAAAAAGGAGGAAACATAAACAAAGCGAATCCATACTAACTTATTCTTATTCGGGGTAAAACCCCCTCTGAGCCTTGGTTAATATGTCAAGGTGGATCTTAGTCCGCCTACACCTGGACACCCTCCAAGCCTCCAATCCCACTTTCTTCCTACTGCGGAACTAAATAACCGAGTGCGCCTGGTTGGTTCTACTCTATCATGTTAACCAATCTTCCTAGCCTTCTGCGAGTTTGTCTCCCCTGTACCTACTTGACCTCTCTGCCCTAGTACTGAGGGGTAAGGCTTTCTCAGTTATGCAACCAGGATGAGAAACTCAGATGTTTTCCTTCTTCCACAGTCACCAATGTTTCTCCTTTGACCCATGTCTCCATAAACCAGCGGAGCCCCTTCTCTCTGTCTTCTGATTTTTCCACTTTTCTCCTCCACTCTGCCTGGATTGCCATACGAATATAAGCCTTAACAGATCTGACCAACTCTTTGTCTGACATCTCCTCTTCTTTGAATACCTTCTTGTTTCTCCCTTGCCAGATTATCCAAAATCCTATTGCCCTGATTGTCTGTGCAACGTAGCCCCAATCGACATCCAATCTCAGGTTTTCCGGGACTCCTCCCAGCTCATCGCCTTGTCAGAAACCGTGTCTCAGTGCTTCGCGAACCACTTCCAGACTCGAGCCGAAGCAGGACAGTCCCACCATAAGTGGATTATAGATATATATGCCCATTGGCATTTTTTACATATCTTATCTACTGACACACCCCTCTCTGACAGCCATACTGCCGAGGGGGTTGCTACTAGTGAGACTAACCATAGAACTGTCGTCATTGTCTGTGAAGGTACCTTATCCAACTGTTGCCAGCAGCGTGAGAGAGTTTTTGCCACTGTCTCCGGTTCCATTTGCATAAGTTTGACCCATCTGTCCGTGGCGACTATCCTGGGAATTACCTCTGAGGCCATCAGTGTACCAGGGCCTGGCGGGTTTACCCCTCCATGCCTCAGGATTGAGTACCACTGTTCTAGGATCACACAAATCAACCCTACGAGTTTCTCCTCCACCTCTCTCAAATTACCTAATCTTTGTTTCAGATTCGCCGGGTGGATCCAGTCCCCCTTCAAGTCGTCCCAAATGTCTTTCACTCGCACAAGTCCCCTCTCTATCCAGGAGCGCCCGAAACTTCTTGTGTCTCTATTGGCCATAAAAGGCTTTTCATCGTCGTTCCTGATATGTGTTTTTTTTTTAATAGTATCTGCAGCAGGATCTCATGCTTCGTGTTTGGTTCCTTCCACTTGTATGGTTTCACCTGCCGCCAGGCTTTAAGGATCCCAGTCCAAAACTCAGAATTGATGTGTCGTCTTAGATAAGAATTAATCCAGGTACAGTCCCAGACGTCGTAACATCTTGAAAGGCTCCATTCTTTCTGCAGGATCTGTTATGCCAGCACTATCCAGTGTTCATCCATATTCGAGTTGATCGCTTTCAAGACCCATGCGGCCATCATTGACATGTTCTGCCTGCCTGGGTCAGTCAGAGTTAAGCCTCCTTCCTCTCTTGGGCAACAGATGGTGCTCCAAGCGACCTTCGAGATGAAACCAGAATTGTCAGTACCATACGGTTTCCACATAAACCTTGCAGCTCTGCATCTAGTCACCGTTTTCGTTTTCTGGCCAAGCGGTCTCACTTTCCCCACGTACTACAGTAAGATGAACGACGCCACATTGATGACCAAGGCTCTTCCTATCAGAGATAAATGCGGGGCCTTGCCCCATACCGACAGTCGATTGAGTACTAGTCGTTGCAGTAGTTCATCATGTTCTGCTTTACATGACAACAACGCTACTTGTACCCCTAAGAAGCGCTCCGACTTGTCGACATCGACTCTCCGCATACCCCATTGAACCTTCAGAGTACATGAACTTGGTAGGGGATAGACAAATTTTGTCTAATTGATAGCCGCTTTCGATAGATCTTCGTATTCTTTTAGATATCTTTTAACGGCTGACAATAAACTTTATGAGTTCTCTGAGACTACGAAGAGGTCGTCGGCCAAAGCTTTGGTCCTACGTTCCCTAATTCTGCACCGAATGCCTGTGATCTCCTGGTTACTGCGGATATTACAAAGAACAGTTTTCAGCTGGAGCACAAACACCAGGGGGGCCAACGGGCACCCCTGTCGCAGCGATCTTGAAAGGCGGAAGGTTGAGGAAAAATGACCGTTCACCATAACGGAAGCGGTAGAGAATGAGTACATCACAACCACCCATCGACAGAAACAATCCCCGAAACCTAGGATTCTAAGGGAGGTTAAAACGTATAACCAGTTTACCCGGTCGTACACCTTCACGTTTTCCATATCCAATAACAGAACTGCTACATTTAGACTCCCATTCTCGATGAGTTCCAATATTTCTATTGTCGTAACCATGTTGTTGAATATCGACCGACCTCTCACAAATGTTGCTTGATCGTCAATCACTAGGTCCAGTAGATATCGTGCTAATCTATGAGCCAAAACCTTCGCTACGATCTTATAGGCTACGTTTAGCAATGATATCGGCCTCCAATTGCGAATCTCATTCTTATCCCTTTTCTTAAATAAGATTGAAATGATCCAATTACATGCATTTCGCGGGAGAAGTCCCCCTACCAGCGTTTGGTTATAGATCTCAACCAGATCTGTACCAAGGACTTGCCAGAAGGTTTGGTAAAACTCCACTGGCAGCCCATCGTCACCTGGTACCTTACCTTTTGCCATGGTAGCTAGCGTACACTTGGCCTCTGCATCCGTAACTGGTCGATCCAGATCCAATCATCTCCCGTGGGGTGGGAGGCGTGCCTTCATATTATTCCAAATGTGTCGAGTGTTGTGCTAGATTGCACTCCTCTCCTTTCTCTGATCTTCTGGATGTTAGGATGTCCTTGTAGTAGCATGCCGCGTATTTACACAGTTTTGTGGGCCGTGTACTAGTTGTCGGCTCTGAGTCACAGAACGGATGTGACAACTCTTTCATCATGTGATTCTGTCTTCTGGGAAGTAGTCTCAGGAATGACTCTTTCGTCATTCTGTCATACACTGTTAATCCCTTGATTCTCAGCCTCTCCGCCCACTGGTCTGATCTCTCCTGTTGCAATTTCTCCCACTCCTCCATCCTACGCATCCTCTCCTTTCCCCATGTTAGTTCTGAAATTGGATGTTCCCTCATTCTCCGTTCTGCGTACTTCACCCGTTTCAGACATCTTCTCTCTTCTTTGTGCCTTTCAAGTGCCAGGATTCTTGAGAATACATTTAGTAAGTTGGACAAAATTTTCGAACCCACCTCCCACCAATCTGCTAGCGAGTCAAATTGGGCTTTCCTTTCTTTCCATCTCCCCCAAAAGTTGGTGACCCAGTCCCTCAGGTCCTGATCCCTTAAGTTGTCTGTGTTTAACCGAAAGTACCCCTTACCTCTCTGAAGCTCTTCCCCCAATTGGAACCCTTACGCTACCGGATCATGGTCTGACATCGGGTGCTTCATTACCCTCACCTTTCCCAATGCTTCCAGAGCCTCATCAGAAACCAGAAAGTAATCTAAACGCTTCCCCTTACCCTGATGAGAGTGCCAAGTGAACCCTGAGTCCAACGGATAGGTTAGTCGAAAAGGATTATGCAGACTGAACTCCGACATGAATTTTGTCATTGGTAGGACCGCTCTGATGGCTTTCCTATCATTCTCGGTGTAATCGAAGGACTGATTCCAGTCCCCTGAGATAATTAGGTTGTTAACGTCTGGGAGATAATAGGGTAGCTCTCGCAGGAAGCATTCACCTTCTTTTTTGGTCGATGGTGCGTAGACCGTGGCCACCGCCCATTCCTGCTGGCCTATTCCCAATTTTATCCAAGCCCACCTGCCCCATGTGTCGTAAAAATAGTCAATGATTTCCGCTTCTAGGTCTCTATGGAGGAGAATTGTCACTCCTCCCCTAGATCCCTGGGCAGGTGACCATAGCTGAGGGTCGTCCCACCAATTCCCAAGTTTGCCTATTTTCTCTTCGCACAGTTTAGTTTCTTGAAGGCAAATCAGGTTAACGTGTTTCTCATGCATCCACTATTTCAGTCGTGTTTTCTTACATTTTTCTGACGAACCCCCTAATCCCCGGGCATTCCATGTTGCTATCGATAACTTAACCATATAGCCTTACACCGCCAGTATGAGATTGGATATGGGACGTGGATGCTCCTAGGCCGGAGGCTGCTCTTGAGGACGATCCAACCGACCATTGTGATGTCAGAGCGTTTCTCACGAACTACGAATCAAGCCTTTTTTCCTTCGGAAATCTGATCTTGATCTCTTGTCAGGCCAGGTGCCAGAATGATCCTGCTTAATTCATATTTCCTTCCTTCCGCAAACCAGGCAATGGGAAGCAACCAAAGCCCGAGCCTCTCCAGATCACCTACGTTCGAATCATTAACCCTTGCATCTAATAGTGACACATAAAACTTAATCTTACTCCCGGCGGCGTAAGTGATAATACGGGCCGTTGAGACATCTGGGATAACCCTAGTGGGGAAATAATCCACTGTCTGAAGGATGAGTCGAGGCGGTGGAATGTCTGTAACTGGTTGGGAGAAGAGGGTAAAATGGCCATTAGCTGTCTGCCAGGTAAGTACCCAATATCCGTTTCTTACCGCGATGCACAGGAGAGGGACTAAAATTTGTTCCACTCCTGAGCCTTGACCTCGGGCCATCGTCACTAGTCGTCTACTTCTTGTTGTCTTGGCTCTTGGCGTCACCACCTGGTCTTGACTTGGTGACTGTGCCGAGGATTCTTCTGAAGCTTCTGCGCGGACTTCCTTGACTGAACTCATACTCAATCGACGTTGTTTCCCTGCCGGTCGACTCCTTCTTTGATCACTTATTCCTTCCTTCGATGATATCGGTGTTGCTGCAACCTCTCCTTGTCCTTCCGTATCTTCGTGGCCTGTCCATCCATAAGTTGCCCCGTCTCTCCTTGGGGATATCCTCGGTGTCTGCAGACCTTGATTTACTTTCTGGTGCGAACAGCTGGAAGGCCGAGTGTCAGTAAGTCCCCACTCCTCTTGACAGCCGACCTCCAACTTGCCCCATCCCGCCTGGGCAGGGGATGTTGCCCCAACCCATTCCTTAGGGGTCTATACCACCTTGGAACGACATTCCAAAATAGGGAAATGTTGGTTCCTTGTATGTTGGTATCGTCCCTGCCCCGAAGGCTGCTCCTCCTGGTGCAAGTGTGGGGTTGAAGGCCGCTGAGAAGCCCTGCGCGCCACCATTCCCTGTTGGGAGAATCATGGATGGTCTGGACGAGAGGTCCCTTGATACGGTTGCCTGCTTTGTGTCCTTCCACCTCGTGAGTTTTGATTTGTTGTCGAAGCTGCTGGATCTGCCTGGAAAAGATTATCTCCCCCTCTCGCTTCTGCGTGCCTATTTCCTCGTCTGCAATCTGCTTCTTCGTGGAACCTGCATCTTCGACACTTGAGCGTAGTCGCCATGGCTAATCTCACCTCCAGTCGGTCGCCTGTCGACGTGTTGATCCATAGTTTGTCCTTCATGTTACCTCTTGCGTCTGGATCCAGGTCGAACCTTGCGTTCACTAGCGCTGGCCTCTCTGGGTCCGCATCCAGTGGGTGGGCATACAGAATGGTGTCGATCGCTCTCTCTACTTGTGAGTAGATGAAAGGCATGTCGTCAAGAGGAACCTGCACTGCTATGACCCAGAAGGTTCTTTCATCCTCCGCTCTTCGAAGGTATCTGAACTCTGCACGTGTCATCCAGGGTTTGAACGGGATTTTGTACGTCACGTTCCTCAATGTTATCTCCGCACCACCTTCGTCAATCATGTATGTTGCGACTTCCCTTGACTTTGCCACGTATGATAATGCGTTTGGTCCCTCCACCTTGACTCTTCCTCTTCGGGTCTCCATTGGGAACATGTTGCTACCTAGTATCCAGCCGTCTTCATAGGCTTTGATGGTGTCATCCTTGACCTTCTTTGGAAGGAATCTTGCATTCTCCTTGAAGATTACAGAGACAGTACGTTCCTTTAACCATTTAACCTTGATTTCATCGAGCGATGTGTTCAGCGTGAAACTCGCTTCTCGTCCTTGCACCGTCATTTCCCTCGGATCCAGATTCATGGGGTAAACTCCGTCGTCGAAACACATTGGTAGCAGAGACCTGATTCGATCTTCATCTTCCCAGTAGCTTTGCTGGCGTTCAGCCGGCGCCGGAGGGGGGGATCTGGCCCCCTCTCGAGAATTCGGTCGATCCTCTCCTTCGTCCATTTTCTTCGCAATATGCCAAGCTCTGCCTTCCTGAGTAGGTTTGCTGTCTTTGTTCGTCCGTATTCTTCTCCTTCTCTTGCCTTGACTTGTTCGAATCTCCACGCCCCACTACTCCTACGGCTTGTACTTCTCGAAGATACGCGTGCTTCTCGAACAATCTCGTGGCTCTCATAAATCTCGTGGCGAACGAGGGCGGTCACCCGCCGTTCAGCTGAATCATGATGGGCATGCCAACCATCGCTGCTTCTCACCCTATCGGGGGAAGTGGGGGGAGTACCGGTGCGCTATCTCGGTGATAGTGCGTCGGTTGACCGTAGGGCCTTGCGGCCCCGTAGCGCAGGGGCAGAGTGCTTAGCGCCAACCGCCGCGTTCCTCTCGTCCGCCCAGCCCTGTCCCACACAGACATGTTCGCAAGAAGCAACCCTTTTTTTAAAATTAGTATTCTGGTCAGTTGATTGTGTCAAAAAAAAAAAAAGGTCAGATTGTGTCTGGACTCAAACTTGGGCCTGCATTCAGCGGCCTAACTCAGTTGGTAAGGCACGCAAGTGGCATTCAGGAGGGCTTGGGTTCAATCCCCGTTGCCCTTATGTACCTTCCTGGGCCAGCTTGGCGCCCGCCAGCTAGAGATATGCCCTTGGTACCCCCGAGTGGCATTGAGCAGATACTGCTGATGTTCATAGGGGGAGGAGACCAGAGGGGAGGCATAGCGACCGGCCCATCGAAGAAGCTCGGTCCTGATGCTACGGGCTGACCCCTGGCAGGTATCGCCCACCTGCTGTAACAGGTATCGCACGTGCTGGTGGGTGCCACTCCTCCATGCTCCCTGCCGCTCCCGCATGCTCTGTCGTTGGGGGCTTGAGCACGGATGTGGCTGGTACGGGGTTCTCCGAAACATACCATAATAATGACAATAAAAAGGCCTGAAAGGCTGTCCTTTCCAGATTCGACAGGTAATTGAATTGGTTGGGCGAAACGTGGGCCTGCATTTCAACAGTTCATGGGTGTACCAACTGAAGGCCCATTGGTACCGCCATAATTTCTGTCTTTCGTGCATGGGGTGAGTGGTGGAACGCCCTCTGTATCGCTGTGTCGTCTAGGCGCTCTTCTGACCTACCCTGCGCGGCCTGCCCGTCCTGCCCGTCCTGCGCGTCCTGCGCGTGCATTGGTGCCACGCCCTCGGTCTCGCTCTCTCCCACACGCCCACCATGCTGTTCTGCCTACTACGGGACCTACCGTGCGCGTGCAACGTGCTGCGTCTTGCCTGCGTTGGTGCTGGCGACGTAAATCTGAGCTACGTGAGTAAGCTTGCTGGTGCTACGTGAACTACTGCAACGTGATATTGAGGCATTGTCTACTTTTGTGGAACTTGGACGGCTGGGCTAAACCGTGGTCGAAGGCTTGCCCGTTGTTGGTTGATCGCTGTCGGCAAGAGGCTTCTTCGGTATGGCTGACTGAAGTGAGTCTCCATTTCTGATCTTCTCATCCGACGTCTCTCCTTCTTCCTCCCGCCAGATCTCCGCCTGACCACCTCCTCCTCTCCGCCCTCCGTCCGCCCTCTCTCCTCTCTTCCTTTCCTTTCTCCGCTCGACGTCCGCCTGACCCCATCCCCCCCTCCTCCCTCGGCCCTTCCTCGTCCGTCCCTCCTCCCTCTCGCCTCTCTCCCTCCTTTCCCCTTGGCCCTTCCTCCTCAACCTCCCTCCCCCGTCCCTCCTTTTTCCCGTGGCCCATCCTTCACCCTCCGCTCTCCCTCACCCCTCCCTTTTTCATCTCTTAGCCCTCTGCCCTCCCTCCTGTATTCCTTCCTTCTTCGCGCCCGACCTAGAGAATACACATCTTTCTTTTTCCGCCCAATCGACCTAAACGCCACATTTCGTACGAGCGCGCGCGCAAGAGAGAGAGAGAGAGAGAGAGAGAGAGAGAGAGAGAGAGAGAGAGAGAGAGAGAGAGAGAGAGAGAGAGAGAGAGAGAGAG